CATCCACATGGTGGCTCACAACCATCTGTAATGAGATATAATGCCCTCTTCTGACCTGCAGACATACATGCAGACAGAACACTATGTACATAATAAATAAATGAAGCTTTAAAAATATTTTTTTAAAAAAAATTCACAAATGAATGCTAACTGAGCACATGCTACAGGCTAATACACTGTGTGATAACACAGTACGACACAGACAGTAAACCTGATTTTAACCCACACCCACACAGGAGCTCCTACTATGATACAAGTTTGCATTTTAACATCAATGCATACTGGTAAATAGCCACAGCAAAATCTGTACACAGCAAAATATCAAAATAAAAGGAAATAAAATAACAAACATCAGAATGGAAGCACAGTGCAACAATCTTAGAAAGATAAGCAATGTCAGTAAAACAAATTATGGGAGAAAAGACAGAAAATAGCAAGAATTCCTGTAACAGCATGTGAAAGAGGTAGAGGCCGCACTGTAGCCACAAACACACGGCCCTTTAGCTATTGTTGTCATCCATTCTGTCAACGGGCAAGTGTTTTACAGACAATGAGAGACTAATGATAGTTCCAAACCAGCACTCTCGTGCCGTGCTCTCTGCTGAACTGCACTGTCGATGGGAGCCAGTCATCTGGAGCACTTTAATGGCAGGACACAGAACACACGTCTCCAGATAAAAAGACAATATTCAAATGTGATGTCTTACAAGATAAAAACATCATGTCAATTCTATTTTGGTGACAGGCTACTGGCTTAATCCTTACCTCCTTTTCTACTTTATTGTGACCTACTTGGAAATTTTCAAGAAATATATCCAGATCATTTTAAGCCAATGTAAAGGCATTAGTAAAACAATATTAGTGATGTGGACAAAAGACAGTTGGAGGTCCCGATACTTCAAAAAGGCTTCGGGGAGGGAATACGCTAGGATTTCCTCAAAATGAAACAGAAGCAGTGAAAAACTGAAAAAAGACAAAATAAAGGATGGAAATTTTTGAACTTTAAGAAAAAATGTTACTTGTCAAGACTTTATATGAGATTTTAAAGAATTATAGAAAAAATCATGGTTAAAAAGAAATGGTATCAATTATTAAACAAACTCTAAGCTGGGTGGTGGTGGCTCACACCATATTCCAGCACAGGTGGCTCTCTGAGTTCGAGGCCAGCCTGGTCTACACAGTGAGCTTCAGGACAGCCAGGGCCACACAGAGAGACCCTGTCTCAAAAAAAAAAAAAATCATAACAAAAAAATTTTTAAAAAGCAGAAATTCCAAGGACCACTATCACACACATGTTCTTGGGCTGGCCAATAATCTCATTTTGTACATCTATTTTGGTTTAACATATTTGATCTTTAAAAAGTAGAGAAGTTCTGTCTCAGAGGGGAATACCTACTGTGCAAGTATCAGGATCTGAGTCCAATCCTACAACGCAAGTAGAAGACAAGCACAATAACATGGTAAGGGCAACACTGGGCGATGGGGTGGGGTAGAGACAGGTGATTCATGAAGATCACTCACTGGCCAGCCTAGCTAAATCAGAGAGTTCCAAGGACAGTGAGAGACCCTGTCTCAAATATACATAGAGTGGAGAGCCAGCAAGGTGACTCACCGGCTTTGTAAAAGGGCTGACAGCAAGACTGGCAACTGGGGTTCATCCCTGAGACCACAAGGTAGAAACAACTGACTCTTCCAAGTTGTCCTCTGACCTCCATCCATTTTGTAGTATGTGGACACACACACAATAAATAAGTAAATACATAAGTAAATAATTTTTGGTTTTTTAATTTGTTTCTAACTTAATTAGAATTACATCACGTTCCCTCCTCCCTTTGCTTCATCCAGCTACTCCTGGCTTCCTTCCCTCAAACCTGTCCCATTCCCCCACTCTAAAGATGGCAATCTGTTTTTCTTTTATCGTTACACACACACTTACACATCCATACACACACACATATGTACACATATACACACACAAACAACCTGCCAAGTCCATGTAATTTCTAGTGTATACATGTGTGGCTGTGGGTGCACAGCTAACAAGCTTCCTTGGAGGAGACTCACCCAGAGGGCGAAGCTCCCAGAAGACATTAGGAGACTACATCTATTAGCTACAGGTGGGACCCCAAAGACATACCTATATTACAGCTCCAGCTTCTATGGCTCAAAGAACATTCAAGAAAAAAAGGGAAGAAATATTTTAGAAGTCAAAATATCAGAAAATCTGTTGTGAAGCAGTCTCTTCTCGAAATGCATGCACAAACAAGACTGGAACAACAGCAAGATCAATGTGTGTTTTCATGTGGGGGGTCCCACTCCCAAACATATAGTTCTTCAAAGTACAAAAAATTAATGTGGAGAAGCTGTCAGAGGAAAAAATAACCAAACTTATACACACACACACACACCAAAAAACATACATTTACAAACATATAAACAAGTACACACACCTAACACAGGTGTACACACACACACACATGCACACACACACACATGCACACACACACAAAACACACATGCAATTACAGCAGGTTAATTTCTATCTGGTTATAGAGTACATAAGGCAACAAAAATCCAACAGTCCCAAATTACCTAACATTTTATAAAAATGCCTGAGAAACTAAAGGGCATTTGACCACGTTTCAGAGGTAGTCTCAGCTGTCAGCAGCTACAGCTCAGTGATCTATAACCCCTATTTCTCACAGACCTGTAGCAGATATCACTTTGAGAACAGAACCACAAGGTGTGAAAAACAAACAAGGCATAATCAGAAATATTGCTAAATCCAAAACAACTGAGAGAAATTTACTTAGACTGCTGAGGCAGGAGTTTGAAACCAGCCTGGGCTACATAGTGAATCTAAAGCCACTCTGGGTTACAAAGACAGACCATGTCTCAGAAGGAGGGGTGGGGTGGAGGAGCAGAGAAGCAGGGAGCTGAAAAGTAAAACTGTTTTTCCTGGAGGTGAATACTACATCTTTTCAATGTCTTCTTGAAGGCAGCGGGGCAGGAGACACAACACAACTATGTTTCAAGAGCACCTGAGATGCAACTGACGGTACGGGTATGTGAATAAGGGCCTCTCTCCAACAGCTTTGCAAAGAAACCCTGTACAACCAGGCCTAACCTATACAAAAATCACTCCCACGGATTATTACTAAGTTTGAAACAGAGAATCAGGATCCCTTGAGACCATTATCAAGGTACTATAAACTATTTTTAAATGCCAGTGGATTTCAAGACTTCCCCCCACACCACCCAATTTCTATAATAAAAGAAGCGATAATATTAGTAAAGGGACCAAGACCATGATGTGGACACCCACTGAAACAGCTGACCTAAGCTAATGAGAGCTCACTGACTCCTGACTGACAGCCGGGGAAGCTGATAATCCAAGTAGGCCCTCTGAAAGTGGGTGACAGTTGTATTGCTGGGGCAGTCTGTGGGGCCCCTGGCAGTCAGACCAGGATTATCCCCAGTACTTGAACTGGCTTTGTGGAGCTCATTCTCTTTGGAGTGATACTTTGCTCAGCCTAGATATAGTGGGAAGGGCCTTGGTCCTGTTTCAAAGTGATGTGTGAGACTTTGCTGAGTCTCCGTGGGAAGGCTTACCCTCTCTGAGGAGTGGATGGGGGTAGGGTGGGTGGAAGGTGGGGAAAGTGGGAGAAGGTGAAGAAGTGAGAACTGGGATTGGTATATAAACTGAAAAAAGATTATTTTTTAAAAAGTAAATAAATTTAAAGAAAAAGGAGGGGAGAGAGGAGGAGAGAGGAAGGAAATAAGGAAGGAAGGAAGGAAGGAAGGAAGGAAGGAAGGAAGGAAGGAAGGAAGGAAGGAAAAAGAAAGCAAACTAGGAGGAAAGAGAAGAAAACAGCAAACACGCTGTGGCTGAAACTGCAGTGCTGTTACATTGGTTTTGACCCCTGATAGTTATTGCTTTGTTTTACCTCTACTGAACTTCTACTAACTAGCCCTACTTGGGCACTTTCATGAGCAGGAACAGGGCCACACTAATACCCATGAAGCAAATTTTAGAGGCCATATTGCTGTAATGGAGCTATCGTTGGTATTTATTAAACATCTAGAAAACGTAGGAAAGAGTATGCCAATTTTATCTTTACTATCTCTGTGATCTAAATCTTGAATGAAATCGAAAAGGTATTTTTAGTGACATGCTGACAAGATAAAAGAGAAACTCAGGCTAAAGAAACATCACAGGTTCCTTTGGGTTATATAAAGTCAGGAACTGTGAGCATCAATTTTCTACCTATCACTATAATTATGAAAACTCTTCAAATGTGGCAACGTATTAGAAGGCAACCGCACTAATAAACAGATGCAGGGAGAGCTGATACATATCTATTTCCAAATGTGCCATCTATGTTTGATCTAATTTGCATAATTATAATTGGAATTAAGTTATTTCCTTTCATGAGGTCCTTTTCTTTGATTTTTCATATATTCTGATAATTACCTCATCTGTGCTAGATAAAAGACACATAGAAAATGGCAGTGCCTGCTCTTGGTTCATTCACGGTCACCACATATTCATGAGCACCCCACAACACAGTTTTGGGGGACATGGCGGTGCCCCTTCAGCAAACAGTTACAGATATGGGAGCCTGAAGCGTCCTAAAGAAGAGCTCTCACTGGGTTCTTCTCACTGTCATCCGCCGCGTTCATCCCCAAAATAAAGCACCTGCTTTCTCAAAGAAGTCCATCCTGTGCAGGTCCAAAACTGACTTCAAGTCTAAGAAGAGAAAAGGCTTTCACTTTGAAATAATGAAGGAAACCAGTCAAAGACCTCACTCCGGGGTCCTGAAAGAAAATCTGAGCTCTACGGAAGCGCTATAGAGGAGTCAAGCAGTTGTTAGCTTTACTTTACATTCTTCATCTCCAAAACTAGCTCTCAAAATAATACAACTTCTGATTAAAATTTCTGTAAGCAATTCGGGAGAATAAAATCATCTTTCAAGTGGAGATTAAAGGTAGGACGTCACCTCGACTTGTGCTGCCAAACTTGCTTTCTCCTGCTCTTTCCGCTCCATGCAGCGCTTCACCTCCTCTAACTCGGAAGCCATGGCGTTGAAGTTCAGGTGCACTCGCAGTTCCGCCATCTGCCTCTCCAGACTCTGCTTCTCCCGCTCGACCCCTTAAGAGGTAAATGGAAAGCTCGTTGGTTACTCCTTATTCACAGAAGAATGGACTAGTTACCATAAGACACTCTGGGAAGATGCTAGTATCAATATGGGACAGTAATTAGAAACTCAAGTTTGTGGAAGCAAATTTACATTTACCTATGGTCTGAATGGCCATCAAAAATTCATGCTGAAGCCTGCTAGTGCAACACTGTAAGATGTAGAACCTTCAAGAACTGAGTAGCTCAGAAGAGTTCCACTCTTCTGGATGGGTCAATGCCCTGCTGCAGGCATGTTCATCATTAGGAGTATGGCTTTGCTATAAATGGTCTTGCCCTCCCAAATGAACATTTTCAAGCTGAGTCTCATGTTCATTCTCATTCATCCTCTCCCTTCTCTTTCCCCTCCTCCTCGGCACCCACTGGACACGTCATCTGGCCCTTCCCTTCTCATTCCTGGCAGTCTTCTCTCATCTTGTGATGCCATCCATTGTGATTCTATGCAGCAAGGCTGCCACCACATGCAGCCCCTGCATCTGAACTTCCCAGCTGCCAAATCTGTGAGAAATACATTTATTTTCTTTAATCACTGAGGGGAACAGTACCATTCTATGATCAGGGAAACAATGTATAGGGAGTGTGCGATATCTCTAATCTCATAAGAATCCAACACACTGGAGTGAGAGGTTTTAGTGAAGATAATAAAACAAATAGCTCGTGCCTTAGAGGGATGCCCTGAGGAGTAGTACGGGAGACAAGCTTAAGGGAGCCAGAGCACAGCAAGGCAAGTTTAAGTGGAAGAACAAGTGATTTGACACATGCCAAAGATGGGGTGCTAGAATAAGGAAAAGAGAGGTGACAGATTTGAGAGTTATCAGAAGCCACGAGTGGCGTGTAGCTGTAATCCAACAGCCAGAAACTACAGCACGTGATCCCAGCTGCAAAGCTAGCCTGACCAAGAGAAGGAGATCCTGCCTCCAATATAAAATAAAATAAGAGAGCTGCAGACAGATATACAACAGATATACAACAGGCTGGAGGCAGGGACCAATTAATGAGTGGAGAAAAGAAATAATTTCAGATGTTTGTGTTTTAGGCTGAAATATCTGGATCAGGGAATGAAACCATCAATCAAGATAAGAAAGAGGAAAAAGGCCTCCCTTTGCTTTTTACTTAGAAAATATTTCATTTCAGTAAGAACTTATTTATATTGTACAATATCATATAAAAATGTTTCCAGACCATTATGGCTGTCAATTTGTGCACAAAGGCAACTCAACAATGAAAATTGGGATACTTCCTTCAAAGCTGACTATAGTTTCCACAATTCAAACATTTAGTTACATGAATATATGAAGACCAGAAATAGTAATATGTTATGTGTCAACAAGCAAACAGTTTTTTTCAGCTTTCTCAGTCATTGGTACAAAAATATTGAGACTTCCAGAAAAAAAAAAAAAGAAAGAAAAAACAGGAAGTTAAAAACCCCAGAAAACAGCAAACTTCTCTTACTCTAGTGGTTACCTGGCACCATTTGGTTTTATTAGCCTCTCAATTATCACCTCGGGAGAAAGCATTCTATAGTAACATCATCAAAACAAACGAGGCATCATCAGTACTATGCCACAAGGCAGGAACAAGACATAATACTGGAGGATACAATTCCAACGGCATTAGAAAAATGTGCTTTGGAGAGAGGGTGGATTCCGTTGTCAATCTGTTGACTGCACATTCTGAATGAGCACATGGGAGGAACCAACCGGCAACTCCACCTGCTCGGCAGAAGTCAGAAGTAGAAGCAGACTCGGGTGATTCTAGCAGGTAATAGCTAAAGCATAGGATCAATAGCTCTTGGGACAAATGCTAAATAAGAAAAGCCATCAATAGGAGACTAGGCAAAATCAACCTCTGATCACAAAACATGAACAAAGGGACAGCTAAGGCAGAAGAACTAGGAAGGCTCAGGAGCATGAATGGCAGTGGAAGAGCTTCAAGAGCCAAAAACAGACAAATGAGCTAAGTAATAAAGATGCTTCTGAATTTCACTATGATCAGCATTGAATCAAGCAGAGACTAGATTCCATTCTCCAATCTCCAGATAACAGGCTCCAAATAATAATTGTTCACATATTAAAAAGTAGGGGAAAAAAGAAAAGATAAAATAAAGGCACATTTACAGCTTCATTACAAAGATACACACATTAAAAAAAAAAACAGATGATACTGAAAACTTCACCAAAACATTTGGATGTTCTTTCTTAGACAATGCCTATGAGAAAAGAAGGTTTGATAATGGAAATCGGTTGAGAAATCAAGCAAAATAGACATTCAAATCAGATTCTAGACTATGACGAACTTGCTGTAAAACCTTCTAGATAATTAAGACATTAGAAAGATTAATAAGTGCAGCATGCGGAGTGCACCTCTGGGGATGGGAGGTCACACAGGCAGCATGCAGGATTATACCTCTCCTAAACCTCCAGTCATCCTTTAGATCTTCCTGATGGCTTGACTGTTGCTTGGAAATGGAAGATACTTGATACTGTAAACCCTTCCGGTCACCTTCTGCTTTGGTAAGTTGAGTACGTAGTTCTTCCACCTAAAAGCATTTCATCAAAATCAAACTGTTATGTTTTCAAAAGCAGAAAGCAAATAAACTTACAGATTACTATAAACTGTTTCCTGGGGGAAACATCTGCTTCTACTGGGCTATTGTGGTACCAGATAAACCCAGCTTGGTTCCTAGGCTATCCCACACATAGAAGGAAGTTTCCAATCCATGCTTTCCACCTACGGCCTCCTTTCACAAGGAATGCCTTTTTCTGCTCTGTGTCCATAGTGACAAACAACTTCAACACCTCTTAGATTTACCTTCCTAGTTCTAGGAATTTAACCTGAAGCCTTTTTTAAATCATAATATCTCTATTTCTAAATGATTATGACCATTCTCATTGTAATCACTGTCTAATTACTGGGTGGCTTCCAAGTTCAACGTTATTTTGTATCTTGTAGTAAGACCAATGGGCCGGGTGGTGGTGGTACACACCTTTAATCCCAGCACTCAGGAGGCAGAGGCAGGTGGATCTCTGTGAGTTGGAGGCCAGCCTGGTCTATAGGGTGAGTTCCAGGATAGGCTCCAAAGCTAAACAGAAATCCTGTCTTGAAAAAACAAAGCAAACAAACAAACAAAGACCAATGGAAGCCTCACAGAGGAAATGTGAGTTATACAAATGGGAAGGTTACCATAGGATATTTGTACAAGTTCTTCTCAAAATGATCCAGGGCCTTACTTTCTTTTACAGCCTTGGACTTTACCACACTCTAACCTAAAGCAAAGATGGTATGTCTACCTCAAGACTCAGCTATACCACTACTGGCATATATCCAAAGAATGCTCAATCATACCATAAGCATTATTTATAATAGCCAAAACCTGGAAAGAATTTAGATCCTTCTCAACTGAAGAATGGATAAAGAAAATGTGGTACATTCACACAATAAAGTACCAGCTTAAAAAAAAAAATGACATCAGGAAATTTGCATGCAAATGGATGGAACTAGAAAAAAATCATTCTGAGTGAGATAACCCAGACTCAGAAAGGCAAACATGGTATGTACTCATTCATAAGTAGATATTAACTTTAAAGTAAAGGATAACTTTATGCTACAATCTACAGACCCAGAGAGGCTAAATAACAAGAAGGGTCCAAGAGCGGAATGCATGGATCTCCCAGGGAAGGGGAAATAGAGGAAATCCCTATTTGGACTGTGAGTAGTTGGTATGAGAGTTGGGATGGGGGCGGTGAGTGGAGAGAGAGCGCTGAGAACGAGGACTGAAAGGGGAGCTTTGAGGACATGGGTAGAAGCCTGATGGAAGGGAAACTCCCATGAATCCCAGAACCGTTTTAAAGAAGGCAAGTGTGCTACTGAGCAACAACCTAATTGTGATGGTTTGAATAAGAATGCCCCCCATAGGCTCATTTATTTGAATGCTTAGGGAGTGGAATTAGGAGCTGTGTCCTTGTTGGGATAGATGTGGCCCTGTTGGAAGAAGTGTATCACTAGGGGTGGGCTTTGGGGTTTAAAATGCTCAAGACAGGCCCAGGGTCTCTCTCTTTGTGCTGCCTTCTGATCTGGATGTAGAACACTCAGCTGTTTCTCCAGCACCATGTCTGCCTGCACGTTGTAATGCTTCCCCTCCAGGACAATGCTTTCCTTTATAGGTGGTGCTGTGGTCACGGTGTCTCTTCAGAGCAATAGAACAGTGACTAGCACACTAATCTAAGTACATTTTAACTTTTTAAACTGCTTTTTCAGACAGGTTTTTCTTACATATTCCAGGTTAGTTTCTTGCAGCAATCCTCCTGCCTCAGATTCCTGAGTTCTGATATTACAATCATATAGGTTATGTGCTACCATGCCTGCTTCAACTACAGCTGTATTTGACGTCACTACTAGTCATTACCTCTAATTTATTTTCTTAATCTTCACCTGTTTTCTGTCATGAAAACATGCCATGCTGGTGATTAAACTCAAATGAAGGGACCATGAGTTAGCAAATTATAATATCAAAACAGACCTCAGGAAAGCAGTAGACCACTGACGTATAAGCTTCTAAAGTCATAGGCTGCCTTATTCGTCTTGATATGTATACAAAGAGACTAGCAAATTTTCGACCACAAAAACAAACACAGCCCCAACAACCAAAATCAAATAAGCAATGGAAAAAAAAATTGGCTAAAGTCACGATGACAATGTGCAAAGAAGTTTCTTGCATCAAAAACTAAAAAAAAAAAAATATTACAAATCGGCACTTAAAAAATATAAGAAAACAGTATAGAATTATATACCAACATCCAGAAAACACACTATGAGCTCTGCCAACATTAGCTCCTCATGACCACTGATTACAGAACAAACATCTTAAAGGCTCCACAAAGCAGGTGCCACGTTCATTTTCAGTACCACTGTGAGGATGCAGAGGGACTTCTGAGCACCTAGGACACTGGACACCCTGGCCTGTAGAGCATATAAAATATGAAACCACATCGAAAAACAGAAGGAGACATGGTCAGATTTAGTAAACACAGGAAGAGAGGCAGTTATAAACACATCTACCCTTACCCAGTGTATGTAAGCTGACCATTTAAAATTATTCAACTTTAGACATCAGAAGCCCCCAACTCCTATTAGTCTAATGGGCCACAAAGCATTAGACCTGACAACTAAGCCTCATCTTTGGTTAAAAGCAGCCAGCTGCATCTTGGCCACAAGAGCAAAGGCAGTGATGTATTCAAAGGAACTTAAACAGTCAAAGGTCTATTCAATGTATTTTCTCCTTCCTCTTTATTCTCCAGTGCCTCCTTGAATAGAATTAAGCTCCTGGGAAATTTTATCTTACACATCCAGTGAGCTTGTACACTGTTCTGCCGAGAGAGATAAGTAGGAAGTCAGGGCAGCAGTCAGCAAAATACATTGTCACAGCGGAAACCAAGGCTGGCTTTTCTGAGAGCTCGCTGAATCTTCCTATCTGCATTCTGTGCTAACATCCATGCCCTAGGGGGAAAAAATTCTAGATCTAGATTTTTTTTCTTCTCTCAAAGACATTTGAGAGAAGAGACTCCATCCAGATTTAATAAAACAGCAGACTGTCTTAGTTTGATAGACTCACCTGATGCAAAAGTGTTTCTCTGCTGCCTTCAGATTGACTCAGCAGCCGGCGCGAGAGCTCCAATTCCTGTTCCAGCTAGAGTTTCAACAAGATAAAAACACAGAAAATGAGAAACAAAATAACTGTGCCCAATGAACAAAATATGCCCAATGGGTCGCAATTTAAGAAGAAAACAACAAAATAGTTTCTAGAACATGCTCACAGTGAGTGGGAACGGATGGGCACTTCAGCATGAACACACATTTAACTTCCATTAAAATTACGTGAATTATCTAACAGAAACGGAGTTGCACAAAGCCTGCTAGAGGTCGGGGCCCTAATCAGTTTCGTCTTGACTCTGATCCAACCCCCCTATTCCCACCCCGAGCCTCAATTCATCTCTAAAATAATCATTTTTATCAGTCTCTTGATATCCCCATCCAGTTCTTAATAATTTTAATAAAACTATAAAAAAATGCTTTCTTGAACAAGAATGGTCAACGTTTCTAAATTAGAACAAAAACTAGAGATTGAATAATTCAGAGTATACTTCACCTAGCATGACTTCTTATATTCTTAATACTCAAAAAGTGTTCCTAAATTTTTTAAGCTTCTAAATTCAAAAAAGATATTTAAAATTTTATTAATAATATTGACACTAGAAAAATACCCATGGAAAATATCATCAGTTAGCTGAGCAAATATCCTAAAAGTTCAGACTATACCTTCTTACTTCAAGGTGAAGAATGCAATAAAATGGAATGTAAATTGTTTTGGTGTTGTTTTTTTTCTTTATGTGGAGCTTATGTGTGCTGTACTTGTTTACATTTTGAAACATAAGGAAATACCAAAATTTTGTATTAAGGTGCTTTTAAGTAGTTAAATGTTTACTTTAAATAATCATTTCATTCAAACAAACCACCACCCTTTAACAACTGTATGAAAAATAAGCTAATAAGATCTGTAGAATCACTGTGACAGTTTCCTGGTTTGATAGTCAAAGGCAATTACATAAAAAGTATTATCACTGACAGAAACAGAGTGAAAGGTACAAGAAACCTCTCCATACATTTTGTTTGGAAACATCCTATGACTCTATAATCATTTCACAATGGACTGACACTACTGCATGTATATGTTTGTGTTTGTGCATGTGTACACAAGTGTGTGTGTGTAGTCTAGAAAACACGCATGCTAGTATCAAAGGTTAGCATCATATATCTACCTCAATCACTTGCCACCTCGCTTTCTGAGACAAGGTCTTTCACTGAACCGAGAGCTCTCCATTTGGCTAGACTGGCTGACCAGCAAGCCTGCAGGATCCCCCTGCCTCTATCATCTCCAGCACTGGGATTATTGGGGTGCACCAACATGCTAAAGTTTCACTTGGATGCTCCAGATATGAGTTTAGGACCTTGTGTTTATGTAATAAACACTTTACTGACCCACCTTTCCAGTTACCAAAGTAATTTTTTTTATCCATTTAGGCAATAGTATTTTAAATTATACACATAGCTAATAAAGTATATGTGTTACCACCAAACCCATAAAAATATTATTTTTGTTCTCTTGAGTCTATGATGAAATAAAGAAGGAAAAAAAAATCACACTTCAGGGGAAATGACTTTGAGATCAAGCAAGCCCCTGCTGGTCAGAAACCCATCCTAACGTCAACAGTCAACTCCCAAGGGACAAACCCAAGGGCTCACATACCCTGCATCACATGAAGGCAGTGAGGAAGCAAAACTAAAGTCTATAAAGAATGGTTAGCATTCAGAAAGTAAAGGTAAAAATGGGAGAGTGAGCTAACAGCAGGAACTTTCCTTCAAAGTTCCTTATCTTAAAACCACTTACTTGAAAACTGAAAGGCTATTTGGTCTCTGAATCACCTTTAAGAGCTAAGGTGCTGGACTCTGTATTCACAGATGTGAATTCAAAGGGCCTTAACAACTACTGAGAATGCAGAGTACAGTGGTCTGGGTAATAATGTACTCTGTAGGGTCATATATTTGAATCCATAGTCACTAGGGTGTGGAACTGTTTGAAAGGATAAGAAGGATTAGGAGGTGTGACCCTGTTGGAGTAGATGTGGCCTTAATGGAAGAATGTGTTACTGGTAGTGGACTTTGAGGTTTCAAAACCAATTCCAAGCCCAGTGTCATTCTCTCTGCCTACAGATCAGGATGTAGACGTCTCAGCTACTACACCAGACCTACCTGTGTGCTGCCATGTTCCCTGTCATGATGATAATGGACTCTGAAATTATAAGCAAGCCCCTAATAAAAATGTTTTCTTTCATAAGCATTGTTTTGTTCATGGTGTCTCTTCACAGCACAAGACAGTGACTAGGACTATTTTCAAAGAGTAGAGGATATTTTCAAATCTGAGCTGCTAACTACACGTATCTATTCTAAAGAAAATGAACACACACAAAATGTCTAGCCTTTGCACAGCAGGTCTTTTGTAACTAACCTTCAACAGTCAAGCTTTTTTATTTTCAGTGTTCTCCAGCAAGGAAATAGAAAGTTTATCCAACTCTCAGAAAGGAGAGTGGTCAAAGGTGACATGGCAGCAAATGACCTGTGTCTATTTTCAAGAATGAAGGTAGAGTTATAAGCCACCTCACCTCAGAGTATGTTCTACAAAATGATCTTGGGGACACCTTTTGCAATGCTCAACAAGTATCAGTGAGTCCCAAATACCACGCGGACAGAGGGATGATTTTCAAGGTCTTACCTGGCTCTTCTCAGTCTCAGTTTGTCGCAGCTTGTTCCTCATTGCGTCCTCATTCTCATCTGCTTTAGCTTCTTGCTTCTTTAGTGCCTGGAGCGAAAGCAAACGAGAACAGTATATTATCCCAGATATGCACAAGGCTCAAAGTCACCACCAGGACGCATTGAGGAAGGACCCGGGAAAATATTGAGTTGCACAAAATCTACAAATACATTCCAGCCTGTTCATTCAGAGAAGCCCTAGCAACACTTCAATGAAGATCAAACGCAACTTCCTGATCTTTCTCATCATTTCCATTAGTTTCATCTTTTTCTCCATCTTTGGGAATCTTACTACACAGTTAGAGAGGTTAAACTATTAACCTTCGTCATGGAAACAAAGTTTACTGCCCATCAAAGAATCATATTGAAAGTTGTCCTAGTGATCAGCTGTTGTGAAGAGACACTGTGACCAAGGCAATTCAAATTAAAGAAAGCATTGAACTAGGGCTCACTTCCAAAGTTTCAAAGGCTTAGTCCATTATCATAATGGCAGGGAGCATGGTGGTACAGATGGCACTGGAGATGTAGCTAAGAGATACATCCTGAAACACGGACTGAAAGAGAGAGACAATAGGCCTGGATTGGGTTTTGATAGTTGAAAGTCTGCCCCAGTGACACAGTTCCTCCAACAAAGCCACACCTCCTAATCTTCTAATCCTTTCAGACAGTTCCACTCCCTGGTGACTAAGCATTTTAAAAAATGCACCTTTAAAAAAAGTGCCTACTGGGACCATTCTTATTCAAACCACCAAGGGTTACATAACCTTCTGGATTTAGACCTAACACCATCAACTAACTAGTCCCTAGTTTTTCGGGTTCTAAAAGCACACCATTCATAATAGAGAAACATTCCCCTTGCATCACCATTATGCAGACGACTTACACAAAACTTGCCAGACCATCCAAACTCTACTAGAAAACAGATCCATTCTCATCTAGTTTCCCCTCCTTAATGATAAAAGAAGCCTATAGAAAATTCTTTCAAAAACTAACCACAAAAATGCTCATCTTGATTTGTTTCTATGTCAAAAAGAAAATTAAACAAGTGGAAAGAATTTAAAACAGACTTTCATAATATCTAAAAGGCATTCTGTTCAAATAAGAAAGAAAGACTATCCTAGCACATATACTCTGTAAGGTCTATGCAAAGGCCATACATACTGGGGAAACACAAACTACCTAAAGTCTTTTCCAACGTATTTCCTAAAGCAACAGGAAATAAGTAAATGTGGTAAAACTGAACTTTGATGTAAATACACTATCATTTCATCAGCCTACATATCCAAATGCATCTTAAACATCCTGTATGTCAAACACTGTTCTGGAAGCGTAAAATGCACATGGCCCCACAACTCAAGCAATGAGTTCCCTTCACCATGGATTCTCCTCACACTAATTAGCAAAATACCATCTAGGTGAAAAGGCAAAGAAACTTCATCAAATGAGTAGTAGTTTGCTGTAATAATAAACAACTTCTATGGTGATCAATGTGTCTAGGAAATCTTCTTACATATGTTAAACACACTACATATATTTAAAGACCATATTTAATCTTGATGATAATAATGTGTGTTATTAAACTCATTTTATATTGGGATATAAAGAACTAAATAATTGCCCAAAGACACACTTCTAGATAGTGACAGAGAAAATGAGACTCAGACAGCCTGCCATTTAACTAGCCTTCTCCATCAGGAAACAGTATCTACCTGAGAGGGTTGTGGTGCAAACTAGCTGGTATTCATAAGGAGTATAAATTAATGCTTGGCACGTAGCAAATATGCAATAAGAGCCAAAAATTATTATTATTGAACTATTGAGGATGATGAAGTATTAAAATCATAATGTCTTCCAGGTAGCTATCTAATTATTTGGTCTTTAATGTAGGACAAATAGAATTTACAATGATATTTAATTCTGTATATATAATGTATTCCATTTTAGATGGTGGAATGTGTTTATATATTTTTCATGAACAAAATCTCAAAAATCTAAAAATTATTATTGACACCCTTACCTTTTTCATGATTTCTTGGTCCCTTCTCCAACCTTTCTTTCCCCTCTCTCCCTCTCCCTCTCTCTCTCTCTTCCCATCCTTCCCTCCCTGTCTTTCCTTTCTGTATGTGTGTGTATGTGTCTGTCTGTGTATGTGTCTCTGTGAGAGACACATAAAAATGTAATGGAAAGTGATACAAAGTTGTTACAACATTTTTAAACACTTTTTACTTAAAAGTAAAACAATAATTTCATATTTATATACAATGTATTTTTATTATATCCCTCCACTTTGATTACATCCCTCCCTTCCTATACACTTTTTTCAACATTGCTTCTAGAAAATTCTAAACCATCTTATTCTACAACACCTTTGCTCTAATGTGGACAAATCATTTGTCTTTTGTTAATACTTCTTCATTGGCTTAAAAACATGATTGGTTTTTAATTGGATGTTTGCACAAAGGGGATGATTAGGAAAGACTTCTTCAGGTAATTGACAAGTTTCATCCAACTATAAACAGCTTCCACTTCTGGATTCAACGCCCTGATCAGGAACCGCTCCAAATGAACCTGCAGTGAAGGCTGAGCCAGGCCAGGTTAGGTCGTCTGAAGCCACAACATGAAAAGCACAAGGGAATAAACTAACCTCCAAACAGACAAGACCGTCCCAGACACAAGAACCATTCCCTTCCAAAGCTGAGTTCAAAGTCAAACTGAAAAGATGCTGTAACTCTCGGGAGTGGTGTGGGATGACATGACCTTCCAGGGCTGCTCAGCACCCCTGGCCTCAGCTTACAGAGGAGGCAGGAGTCATCCTCAGCTGCTGAGCTTCGTGCACTTGACCTAACCTCATGCTCTGAGTTTAATTTCCATAAAAACATAAACTCCCAAAATTCCCCCAGTGAAGAAATTTTCCAGTTTACCATCTGGAATTTATCCATTTCTTCCTTTTCCCAGGATTTCCAAAAATTAAATTTGAAAAATTGTAACATTTAAGAACAGAAAAACAAGAAGGATATGTTAACATTTCCCAAGTGCTTGCTTATTGTAGTGTTTGACCAAATACACTAAAAATACTTATATCTATATATTTGCAAACTTATTTAGATATATTTATGAACATTTAAAATAATCATTCGAAATTTTATTTATTTCAAAGCAATTCTCATTTATTGGGAGGCTTACATTTCCAAAGAGCTAAGAGAAAGCTGTCACTGTATTAGAGGGAACTCTTCAGAAGACAGAACCTGTCTGCCAGTCCCACTGTATTTTTAAGACAGCACTTGGCATATAGTAGGTGGTACAGTGTGCTATTGGCTGGACAAATACACATTCCTTTATACTCTCTGACATCACTTTACAGGTGATGTACATACACTTTGTAGGTCCTGTACATACTAGAAGCCTTGCCAAGTTTCTCCCACTTTTGTTTTATTTTGTTATGTACATCTGTCTGTATCTCTGTCTAGGCATGTGCAGTGATCAGAAGAGGACATCAGATCTCACAGAGTATAAGCACCTGTGCTCAGAGATAGGGAAACCAGGAATGGTATATACATGCAGGGTTGTTTCTCCAAAGAGAGAGATGTATAGCCTGTTTCCTACCCACAAGGTAGTGTATGGCCAAGCCATACTGGCTCCCCTAGAACCCTGTCTTTAGCCTGTTTATCTCAGTCAATCTACAGTGCTTCCTTCCCCAGACCTTATCATATACACTGTTTACCTTGAACATGCTTCCTTGATCTATAGACCCTATCTTTGTGGAGGATGCCTCTTGTGCTTTACAAGAATTTCAGTGCAATCATGTTTTACATTTGTTGTACACACGAAATTGAACTGATTATCACTAGGAAGTCGTTTTCCAAATTGTGCTGTACATGCCTAAAATAAACTGTCCAGTGCCAGACACTCAAAGTTTAAACCAACAACAGCCACCGAGTCATGCTGAACTGAACTTCCTCCTGGCCTCTCATGAGTTCACCTTCTGCAGGACATGCTTGCTGTTCACAGAGACCCTCCCAACAGAGCTGGAGGAAAATGTGGATGTGAGCCGCAGTACAAGAATTCTAGGAACCCAATCGGACTTCATCACTGAGCCATCTCTCCAGCCCTTCCCCCTCCTGTCTTAATCACTGTGTTTTCTCAAGCATCAAGTTATCCACCTTGAGAAACTTTTAACAATGCAGTGATGATGTAAACTAAGTATTTACTTTTATATTTAAGAGGTGATAACCTTTTCTACTTGTGAGAAATCATTTCTATCTTTCATTTAGGTAAAAAAACAAAAAGAACTCATTAATTGGTTTTAGTTTTCTATCTTGTTTTGGTTTTAAGACAGGGTCTCATTATGTAGCCCTGGCTGGTCCTGGAACTCATAGTAACTAGGCTGGCCTCAAACTCAGAGAGCGGCCAGGCTCTGCCTCCAGGGTGCTAGGACTAAAGGCGTGCACCACCATGCCAGGTCCACCATGCCAGGAAAAAAAATATTTTCCATTAAAATACTGTTAACTATACAGAAGAATAGCTCTGAATTTTTGCATATTCTTCAAAAAGTTTCCTTCTAAACTAATATATAGCATACTGTATTAGACTTACCAAAACTGAGATAATCACATCATAGTAGGCTTAAGGTTCTGTCTCCACTAAATGTTCTATTTTTTGTTCCAACAACTGATCCACGCTACCATACTACACTCAGCTCACTTCTTTCCCTAGACTCAAGTAGCTGGTTAGTTTCTGGTTTTCCCTTGTTTATGATCTCAGTATTTCTTCAGAACACTTGTCAGGTATAATTTGGAAGGGGGTGGGGAAAAGAATAGATACTATAGTTACAGTACCTTGTCACTACATCACATTGAAGGGACAAGTCATGACTTTGGAAAGGTTACCCTCAGATGATAGATTTAGGTGATGTTCACCAAGTTTTGTTACAATAATTTCGTCTCCTCTCCATTCCACACTGTATCTGTTAAAAGTTAGTCTCTGTGGTCATTTGAATAAAAATGGTCCCCATAGGTCCATAGGAATGGCACCATTAGAAGGTATGGCCTTGGTGTGGGTGTGGTTTTGTTGGAGTGGGCTTTGAGGTCTCAGATGCTCAAGTCTGACCCAGTGTGGCACTCTCTCTTCCTGTTGCCTGCTGATCCAGATGCAGAACTCTCAGCTACCTCTCCAGCCCTGTGTCTGCCTGCGCCCAGCCATAATGACATTAGACTAAATCTCTGAACTGTAAGTCACCCCTAGTTAAATGCTTTGCTTTATAAGAGTGGCCATGGCCATAGTATCTCTTCCTTTATAACTCATCAAGTACGAATGTTGGTCTCTCTGTGGCTTGTGACACTCGGCAGCCTTCTAACCCCACCTGAGTCATGCAATCCGCGGCCATCTTGGTTATCTACCCTGAGCATCTATATTCACAAGTACTCCTAGCACCTCAACTTCTCCACTTTGTAAAGAAAGAATTTATCACTAGTGGGCAATATGGAAAAGTCATCTTTATGCTCACACAAGTGGACATTTACTCCACTTTACATGTCTCATGATTAATGTAAATCTTATAATTCCAGCTGGTACTAGATAAAACTCAATGATACTAACTTTAATCAAGTTATAAACTTAAAACTATCTTTTTTATTCAAATTCCCATATGGATAGGTTGGGTTTTTTTACAAAATACCTCCATTTCTCTCAAATATACAGGAACATAAAATAATCTTGTATTTCTCCTTCTTTATCCATTCTCCAGTTTCAGCGCTGGGTCACTTCTGTACACTTTTCAAAATCAATACAGTTTTCTCTTGCAGTCTACCTACTGTCTAAAACTTTATATCTTAATATCTCTAATAGTCTAAGGACACATAAGACTTAGAGATTTTGTCAATGGGATCCTGAAATTCTATTGTTTCAGTAAGAAGTTCAAATACGAGGCACTGAGGAATCATCAGAGCAAACCACTCTACTGCTCCACCAAGAAATGCCATCGCCACAGAAACAGCTGACCTGAGCTAGTGGGAGTCACTGACTCTGGACTGACAGCTGAGGAACCTGCATAGGACCAAACTAGGGCCCCTGAATGTGGGGACAGTTCTGTAACTGGGGCAGTTTGTGGGACCACTGGCAATGGAACCGGTATTTATCCCTAGTGCATAAACGGGCTTTTTGGAGCCTATTCCCTATGGAGGGATACCTTGCTCTGCCTCCAGTGATGTGACAGACTGTCAACAAAGTGGGGTGGGGGAGTAAGAGGAGGGGAGGAAGAAGGAACTGGGATTGGTATGTAAAATAAAAAAAAAGATTGTTTGAAAAATAAAAAAAAATAAGTGGAGGGGGGGAGAGAAATGCAATCACATCCAAATATCATCACGGCTTCCACGGCAGCAGCACAAAGCAATGGACACATCAGCACAGGTGCAACGTTCAAGCCTGGAATATTAAAGCAATTCTTCTACTTTATGTAGCTTAGCCTAAAAACACAGGAAAATCTATACCATTTAGTATGTATTGAACAATTTCAACTTCTGAAAACAAGTTAAGACTAAAAGAGAAACATTTTACAAATGAATAAATCAAAATTGTGAGTCATTTCTTTAAGTATTAACCATGAGTGTTAACTCATCTACTTCCTTTAAGCCCACACCAGATTCTGTATCTATTTATCTGAGACCAGGCAACTCAGAATTACGTTAAAACACTTGGTAAAAAACAGTAATAAAGAAGAGAAAACATTGCTTGCCGATGAATGTCTGTAACTGTGTTGTTCTGCCCTTTTAAGCTTGGTTTTCTTAGAGCGACTTGCCCATAAAGCTGCAGCATGCCCTGCTCCAGAATTCACATTGTCTTTTAGAGTTTTAAGATCACAGGAATACCACCGAGCCTTAATAGAGGGCCCCTGGGGCACATTTAAATCTTTAATAACAACGGTTTTTCTTTTTTCCTTGAGTATTTTCATTAAAAGAAAGAACACATTGAATACTGAACTACTACAGTCCTTTAGAGGCCGATGATTCTAAACACTTACTGCTAGGTATTTACCAAGAATTTGGCCTTCCCTTTAGCGAGTGGAGAAAAAGGGGCAAAGAAAATGTGTGCACAAACCCCTGCGTCTTTCACAATAAACATGTCTACGAAGTAGCTCTAATACATGACACATTCAAAGATGTGGAACAAACAGAAATTACAGGCTCCTTGAGTCTGCTGCAAATGGACCAGCAAATCTGGTTATAATAATACAATGGATCCTTAGGTAGAGCTTGCCTGCTAACTCCCCCATGGGCCGGGCCACTGAGAGTCTCAGAGAAAGCCATGAACATCACTTGTCCTGAGTCATCCTCAGCAGTGCTACGATGCATACCTCAGGCCACAGGCTGGAACATGGAAATGATTCACTCATAAACCCACAAATCTAAAAACAAAAGAAAAAAGGCTACACTCATTTCAAACATGAGTCAGAATCATCATATTCACGAGACAAACTGTCAGGACAAACTGTCAGGTCAAATTATCAGGTCAAACTTTCCTTTCAATAACAATAAACATATGTCACTGATAAATAGAAAAGAGCTGCTTTTCCTTTATTTTTATATTAAATTCCTCATGTAAATATGAAATTAAAGTCAGAGAACAAATAGCTTAATCTTTTAAGAACAAAATAGAATTATAACCCAAATTATACCACATGATACATAAATTCAAGTTAGAAGTTGACATTTATGTATATTATAAATGTCAACAACATCTTTGAGGACACTTTTTTAGCCAGACAAAAAGAAATTCTATTAAAGAGAGAGACTTTATAAAACATTATGATAGAGACTGAATTTTTTTAAGAAGAAGACCTGGTGGCTGGCTCTGAAATTCTCTGAAGAAACTTAGATACAACTCCAAAGCGCAGAACAAAGAGACTGAGCACAGTGGAAGAGAGGTCATGCAGCACAGCAACACACTGCTGCTGAGAACAAGTGCTCCTTGCTTAAATTAATGGAGATTTTAGTTCATCGAGTTCCACGAATTTCCAAACGCTGTTTTTTCCTAAATCCAGTCAGAGATTGCTTCCCATGAGAACTAGTTCAAATCATGGAAAATCTTAGCCTTTAAGTCCATCCAGTTGAACATCCTCTGTGCCAACAAAAACCAATGCCCCAAAAAAACAGTTTCTTTCAAGACGAAAAACAATACAATCATATTTTACATCCCTAAACAAACAGTTTCTGACTCAAAATGAGCTAGGTGGTTTTTACTAAAATTGTTAAAAAGCAATTTATTTTATAGCCATGATCAAGGGAAGAAAATTCTGCATTTAAAGCTCCGACTAAAGCAAACACAATCCTGCCTGCTAAGTTAAAGTGGAACTGCCTGAGGGATCCAGTGCATGGCCACAGTGACACCCTTGTCATCCGTGAGCCTTGGAGGTAAAGGAGGAGTGCTCAAAGTCCTGAGAGCTGCTGGTGGTGGTGCACGCCTTTACCCTCAGCACCTAGGAGGCAGAGGCAGGCGAATCTCTTGAGTTGGAGGCCAGCCTGGTCTACAGAGTGAGTTCCAGGACTGTTTACCTGTGGGCCTGCCTGATGTGAGTGGCAAGGACGTGACTGATAAGGCACAGTATTCCTGGCTTTTAATGGTCATGGCCGACGCTAGTACATGTGGTTAAGTGGAAGCCATTGGAAGAAAGGCATCATCTGATAGCAATTATAATCCTTAACCTGAAAGATACCTAAGACTTTCAAACACAGAGCCCCAAGTTTTTTTCTAGGCACAGGTCTCGGTTGCATCTGTTTATCTCTTCTCTCACGGTGAGGGGCTTACTGTGCTGGGGAACCGAGAGCTCTCAGGGGAATACACTAGGACAATACAGCAGAACTTACTCTGAGCCACTTTCTCTAAGGGAACTTAGACACCTCTCAGCCCTAGGCAGAATGTATTAGTGGAGTTGGTTGCTGTTTGGGACACCTGGAGCCAATGAGGCCCAAAGGTCATGGGCTCAAACACCATAAATGCCAGTTTACTTTGCTGTGCCCCACAGCCATAATCTTTACCCCTAAACCTTAGCCAAAGTTCACATGGAAGACGAGGCCAGAGATCTGGTGAGTCAGCAGAACTCCACTACCATGACTATGAAAATAATTCAACATTGAAAACCCTCCTGACCAGAGGCAGGACTTCTGCCTTCAAATGTTGCTAAATTTGCCAATCTAAAAAATACAAATAAATAAATAAATAAAATGCTTGATTACTGCTTAAGAAGTTGGTGTGCTGAAATGCCATGTAAGTCTTTTAATGTCTTTAATTCAAAAACAACAGTGGTAATAAGCATTATTCCCTGAAAGGCCACTGCTTTTACTGGAACAGATTGTATTTTTATGCAATCTTTTACTTAATAAAAAACTTGCAAGGAGAGTTAAATGTGAGCCCTATAAGTGGACTTTCCAGGATTTCCTTCAGAATCAAAAGGCAAAACGCTCTTAGCAAAGGGTCTGTTTTCATCTGGGTAGTTTCCTCTCAACAAAAGGCCAGTGGTTTTCTTAGAAACCCAGAGCGATGTGGTACTTGGACTCTGGGCGGGACCACTGAGCCAGAGCTGTTGACAAACAGGAGATCAGAGATGATTGTGGAAATTTAGATTAGAACTTCTCAAGGTTTATCTGCCTTTGAACAGAAAAGCCTGTAAACATACAACATCTTTCATTGTTCAGAGTTAGAGAATGTTATTTTATTCCTTTCGGCTTGGGGATTTTTGGTTTTTACTACTTTCTAATAAAAATAAAAGAGAACCAAGTGGATGAATAAAGCTATCTGTAGCAGAGTGCTTTTTGTTTGCACAATATTATGCACTCAGTAGTTGCCCAATAAATATTAATTGATAATGATGGAAAAAGAATTTTATAAACAGATGGCCTAGCAAAAATTCACTGAAAGATGTAGACAGAAACATTGGCCCTCTTTAAGAAAAGCATAATACAGAGATTTCACAAATCCTGCTTACACAGAAATCACAGGCTGTGGTCAGGCAGTTGTTCAGTCAACAAGGGCAAAAGACATTGTCATCATCACAAAGTCTGCAACACTGATCCTGCACAAAGGGACACAGACTCCGGCTAGCCTTATTTAATATAATTTATAATGAAAAGGGAGACAGGAGGGAATAGGAGCCAATAGCGAAAACCACATGATTTAACCAATATATTGAGATCTAGTAATACGTGGTCTGAGCACAAAGTATGCCATGCCTGAACCAAACTCACGGTAGCAGTAAGAGTGAGCATCCATAACGCTAACTTCCAACACTTCCACACCAAATTGGGGGTCATTACCAGAATACCTACACATATGCTGAAAGAAACAGGTCACTTAAGGTAAAAAGTGAGGCCCTAATAAAGAGAATTGAAATGCTTCAAAATCCTAAAGATATGACTAATCAGAAAAGTGATCAGATCCTATAAACCAGTAATTCCTAACAGAGTAGGAAGGAGAAAGCTATAAGAAAACTAATCTGCCTTAGAAGAATTTCTAAACACACACACACACACACACACACACACACACACATGCATACTTTCCAAACTACTTAAAAAGTATAAACTAATATAGTCTATAGAATTGTAGAGTAAGGCAGTGGAATGAGGAAGCCGGGGGAGCAGAAAGTGCACTGCAAGCATTTAATAATTAATAGATTACATAATTTTTTTTTAAAAAGTGAAAAGTTAGCTGGCAGTGGTGGCACACGCCTTTAATTCTAACATTTGGGAGGCAGGCAGGTAGTTCTCTGAGTTCAAGGCCAGCCTGGTCTACAGAGTAAGTTCCAGGACAGCCAGGGTTACACAGAGAAACCCTGTCTCAGAAACAAAAACAAAACAAAATCTGGAAGCCAAGAAGACTGGACATGAGTGTGGCTGACATAACAAAGTGGAGATGGATATCTGGGACAGCTTACACTATACACCACCTCACTAAGTGCAATGCCCTTTCTAAGTAATCCAAAAGTTAGCAGTGATAACAGGGAGCACACTGCTGCTTCTATGCCGCACAACAGGTTCTAACTTCAACTTGTGTCTTATCATCTTTAAATACTAGGTCTGTATCAGTGGAACACTTTAACATAGGCAGCATCTCCCAGGGCTCGAGTGGCTTGAAAGACCATCTACGATGTTTCTGAAGCACTAAGCTTCCCTGGATGGAAATAAAATCCCATTACAAAGTTGACTCCAGAGTTTTCAAAATCATTTCCAGTTTTGTTCCCAAAATCTCTGGGGGAACTGTTTTACACTGGAAAAAAAAAAAACCCCGTTAGAATGGTTTTAGTGTCATCAGACATAATCAAAATCCAAGAAAACAGTCTACAGGTTGAACAAGGAGATGGGATGCAAAGAGGGAAATCAAGAAAAACCTAAGGAAGAAGACAACAGAACAAACATATCTTGGATAAGGGTGTTCAAACGCCTTTGCAAAGCAAACCCCATGATAGTTGATGGCTATTTTCCATCTATTTCCTTTTCATCAGCGTACAGACATTGATGACTCTCATGTCCCTTTCAAAGACCAGCATTTGCTCCCTCTTTGCCAAGAAAAATAATAATAAAATCCATACATAACAAACACAGACAAGCAAGACAATCAAGTAACATGATGCAAAATGATAAGGGAAAGAGCAGTGGTGTGAACCAAGAGCATGTCAGTCAGAGTTTGAGTAGTTCAGCCATGGACTGAGAAAGCGTTCGACATGTTAAAATCAAACTCATAAAAACATTTCCCTACTGACTGGAAAACACTAAGCCTCAGCAAAACTGTGGCTTCTCAAGCACAAACTTGCCCATGAAGGGCCTAAAAGGGTAACATTCCCCACCCCAGTGCTTTCTAGAGTCCATGCATATCTGGAAGTATTGCCCTACAGTATCTATGAAGAGTTCCCAAAGGCAAGACAGTCTCTTAGGTAACCAGAAACCCACGGTTGTCAGCACAGTACATGGCACATAGCACACAGCAGTGTTCGCCAAATGAACATCTTACTAGTCAGTGTTCTGAGAATGCAGGGTACAGCACCATTCTGTCTGTCATTCATTCAGCAAACACCTAGCACGGTCTTACTATTTCTCAGGCTCTGTTACAGAGCCACGAAAGCAGAAGCTATGAAGGGCTCACCCTCAAGGGCTATGTCCTGGTTAGGGGACAGACAGATAACCGATAATGGAAAAGATATTGCTAAAGAAAAAGGAAATAAATGTAACAAACTCAAAAGGGAAGGAGGGCCTCTTTCTTTGATGGTTAATAAAGGTTTTCTGAACTGGAGTTCTAAAGACCAGGAGGGCACATGGCATGCAGCTGTTTCAGAAATCAACCTGCCTCTGCAAACAGGAAGCACAAATGTCCAATGCAGGAAGTACAGAGCATGCCCACAGAATGGCAAGAAGG